TTTGAAATGCACCACTGGTTGCTGGGTAGACTGACAGAGTCTCTAGCCCCCTCCCAGTCATGATGACATTGCTTAGAACAATAGGGAGTTTAAGCCCCGCTACCCAGGGGTGTGAGGCCAGTCACGTAGGCAGAGGGAGCAGGTTTCCCCCTCCCTCAGGAATGTATTCAGCTCAAGTTACAACTCAGGATCACCTGAAGAAGATGGGGCCAGGGGTGTCTGCCCTCTGCAGTAACCATGGTAACCAAATTGTCAGAGAGGTCATCAGCTGATAGCAGAGTTTGGGGAAGAGACAGAGTTGGCATTCAGCCATACGCCATATATTAGAAATAAAATGGTAAGCACGCTCACTAGTTGCTTGTACACACCACAGGAAGTTACTTCAGTTTAATTCACTCTAATTAAAGTGAATTAATTCTAGCCTGAACGATTGTGGGCATATGCCTGGGGAATTAGAAAAGTGGGGGGAATTAAACCGAAGTAAACCCCCATAGCATGAACACAAGGGTTGGGCATGATCCTCCAGCAGTGGAAGGGAAGGGAAGGGGACGAGCTGCTGGCAGGCCAGACAGTCCCTGAGCTGCAAGGGAGCCCATGCTTCCCTCTGTGGTGGCACCCCCAGGTGGCTCCCAGCATGGGCAGTCCCAGGGGGCACCACAGCCACGGAGGGAAGCACCAGCGCCCCCACAGCCATGGAGGGAAGCACCGCTCCCCCCCGCCCCCCTGCAGCTGTGGAGGGAAGCACTGGGACCACACACAGCTCAGGCAGGCAGGCAGGCTTCAGGGAGGGGGGCAAAAAAGAAGGCTCGTTGCTTTTTTTTCTTCTTCAGTGGAGCCTACCTGCACGGGCTGCCACCGGGCTGCCTGCACAGCCCCTGAGCTGCACAGGACCCGGTGCTTCCCTCTTCGGCTGTTGCACTTTGTTTGGTAGCAAACTAAAACACCTCAGAGGTGTTTTATTTTCCTCCATCCCAAAATCATTTAACGCGCAATACGCCACTGACAGTGTAGACGGCCATACCATTAGAATGGTGCTAAAGAGCATTTAAGCTGCTTGTACATGCCACAAAATTGGCCTTTAAAAAACCCACTGAGATCACCTATGTCATCTAAAAATAATTCTTCTACCTCCCTACAAAATTTTACTAATGCCAATTTCTAATAAAAACAACAAGTTTTAATAAACTGGAAGTATGCAAAGTATTCTGTACACCGTGCAAGGAGGAAATGTAGTAGGCTTGTTATAATCTATTATTATAACTGCATTATTCTGCACTAAAATCCTGTGTTAATGTACAATATCTTGATGCCATGTTATAAACCAACTACACTATCAAAAAATCAGCAGATTATTTTATTTGCAGCATAGTCATTTAACTTGTTTTATGTTTAGACATGTGATCAAGTTTCTGAATTTCTACAGATGTTTTCAAAGAAACATAGAAAAATAGGACTCACAAGGACCTAAGTAAGTCATCAAAGGGAACACAGAGAGGATCCTGTCTTATGCAAGTCTAAACCATCCCAGACAAATTTTTGTCTAACTTGCACTAAAAACAATGGTACTAAACCTTTTTGGACTTGGGTAATCCCTTACTGGACCTGAGGCACCCCCTGAATAGCTTCTGTGAATTGAGTAGCACCCAATCTCAAAAACTAACTTAAATATTACAGTGCTTACCTCCTTGCAAAGGGGCCAGGGGGTAGGAAACAGCTCAGGCTTGTCCCTACCTGGACCGTCTGCTCATCTCATTACACCTCTCAGCACCCTTCAAATGATCCTGCAGCACCCCAGGGTATCAGGGTACCCTGGTTGAGAATAACCGACTTAAAAAGTCCAATGACAAAAACTCCATAATCTTGCAAGGCAGTAAGTGTTCAATTACCACCATAGTAATAATGATCTTCCTAATATCTAACCTAAATGTCATTCATTACTATTTAAGATGGTTATGTTTTGTCCTGTCCCATGTGGCAGGACAAAAGAAAACAGTCCATCACCATCTTCTTTAGAGCAACCCTTCAGGTATTTGAAGACTTGTCAACCCCCACCTCCAATCTTCTTTTCTTCAGACCAAACAGTCCCAAATCTTTAAGGCTTTCCTTTTCTAGGCCCCTAATCATTTTGTTATTCCCTGCTAAACTCCTTCCAATTTGGCCTCATTTTTTTTTTTTTTTGAAGTACAGTTCCCAAAGCTGGACACAATGGTCTAGGTGAGGCATCACCAGTGGTAAATGGTTTGGAGGAATCACTTACTCCATCTTGGACGTAACACTTCTGTTAATACATTGCAATGTGCTACTACCTTTTTTGCATCAATAGAAGACTTCACTGATAGTCAGTTAGTGGTCCACTATAATACCCAGATCCTTTTCTGCAGTTTAAAAAAGCCAATTTAACTGAATCACAATTCCACACACCTACACAAGCACCACTGTGAACATTTTCCATGCCAAGAAATGCACATTACTTTAGGGCTTGCAAGCAGTTTTCAATCTGGAGCCATATGTTGCCTCAGTAGTGCTTCAAGTCCTTGTTTGCTGGGACCTTTTAATTTTGAACCAATGCCAGAGACATGCATTAAAGCACAGGGTTCAATTTTAAAAGTCTGACTTTTTTCTTAGAAAAATGAAACAAAACAAACAGAAAAACCCTGCATATATCTTACATGGTCAATGAATGTCACTTCTAATATATACTTATCCTGGAAACCTGGAACCTTTCTGATATTTTCCCAAAGTTTCTATTAGCTGATCAAAGGCCTGCTGAAGTCAATGGGAGTTGACTTCAATACCTTTGAAGCAGCCCTCTCTAACTTGGCACAGACTGCATATAATCATAAGGCATTAGCTGCAATAAAATGCAATGGCAAAAGTGAGGAAGGCATTGTTTTGATTGGCAGGAAAAATGGTAATGGTGCCCTTCAGTCTTCTCAACCACTGTTAGGAAGAGGGAAGAGGCATCATCTGACTAGCAGAGCAGGCAAGTGGGGCTCGGCCTCATACAGCTGCTTCTCACACAGGAGAGGTTATAGAAAATCCTTTCCCTCCAACAGAAGCATAGAGGAGAGATTGGTAGCTCTTACCCTCTGTTTGGTTTTTTCTGGGGGTGGGGACAGGGGCATTGGTTGCTAGTTTATTTTGTTTTGGCAATTTAGGGGACTGTCTTAAGGAGCTGTGGGGTTCTTTTGCTATGTTTTTAATTGGAAAATCACTTTTTCCTTATGGCCAGATTTGATGGGATAAGATATGAACTTCTGTCTTCCCCATGGAAGCCCAGGGATGGAATAGGATGGAATATGTGGTCACTCTTCAGCAGCTGACAGATAACCAGCGCAAGTATTTTTTCAATAAGGAGTCTGTAAATCAGAACTGGAAACAGACACAGGGGAAGGCATCCGCTAGTACAGCTGCAGAATGGAACTGAAACTTCTAATGCACAGCAGGGAGATAACAACCCTTTCCTGCCCCCCACAAGTCTCTTAAATTACATGTGAGGAAGTGACAGAAGGGTCCCAATAACAGCATGTGGACCAGTTAGAGAAGGTTAGGAAATGACAACCTGCAACAACAATGACAACAAGTTACTGGCCAATGGATCCCAGGTAAGCTGAGTTAATAAAGTTGATGTCTAATTAAACCAGAACCCCTACCTTCCTTCTTGCATTCAAACCTGCTAATTTTTGCTCTCCCACCTGCCTTGCTGAGTTAAAGTGCTATGCACAAAAGCTAATGCTAATTGACAAAATACAGCATCAGGAAAAAACAGCAACAACAGAGATTTCAGTGGGATGTCCCGGAAGTCTGAACATTAGGTTTGAGTTTTATTTAATATATTTAATAGCCACCCAAAAAAGTGGGAATAAAATGCTCTAAGTAAAATTTGCAAAGGATACTAATGAGAGTGAATTTTTACACACATGAGGGAAGAAATTCAGTACGTAGAAACTTTGGTCTGGATTCTATGAAGAAACCAGAAGAACCCAGATTCTACGACGACCCCTTAACTCCCACTAATTTCACTCCACACCTGACAAGATCAGGTCCTTAGAAGTACTTGAAATAAGTAATAAATAAGATATAAAATGAGATTCGATTTATAAAAAGAAAAAAAAAGAAAAGCCCAAGTTATTCAGTCAGGGGAAAGTATATCAGACACAGACATCCAATGACAAGAAAAAAACTGGAAAGCAGTGTTGCCGAAGTAGATTTAGGCATGGTAACATATACCAAATTCAGTGGAGTTTGTAGTGTTACATGATGGTCATAAACAACACCAATGTTATTTAGGACTCAATACACAAAAATATCAGTTAAACCATAGACTTGGAGGAGACGGTCCTACCACATAGTGCTGGTGAAACAACACAGAGAATACCATTCAATTCCTCAACCATTCAACACAGAGAATACCAATCAATTCCTAGGTACCTAAGTGTCAAATACATTAGGAAAAATATTGGAAAAAATCAAAATAGGAGTACAAGATTTATTAGATACTGGGACTGAAATATATGAAAAGTTAAATATCAAAATATTGCATGATTTAGTTAAATGCCAACTAAAGGATTCATGCAAGTTACATACATATAACTTAACAGCAAAAGGGAAAAAAGTTCCCCAAAGATCTTCAGTTAAAATGGCACTAAGTTAAATAAATTTTGGGTTGAATAACTGAAAAAATGGCTAACTATGTCATGTTAGGTTGGAATGTACAAATTCAGATGGGAATGCCACTTCCACTGGCTTCAACAAGAACATCATCCACATTCATAGGAGATGAAAATTTCTGTCTTCAGAATAGTAAAAGCCCTATCACTTGATTAATTTAAAATGGAAAGCAGTGCATACTGGTGAATTGAAAGCAAGGATTAGATAACTGAAGATATTTTATAGCTAATAGTTTAGTTTGATCCATATTATCTAAGAAGTTAATGTTTTTAAGTCTTGGAGATGGCACACTTTGCAACATGGTGCTGAAAGCTACAGACTGTACTTACTTTTGACAGAGCTGGCTGAACAGAATTTTGGGAGAAAGAGGGCCTTTTCCAGCCTCCCTCATGCTATGAAGGAACAAGAACATGGCAGAAGTCAGAGGTCCAGGGCCTGAGAGGTTCACCACCAATGGATCCTTTGGAATAAAGTTTAATTGTGTATCAACATAACTTCTTGTCTGAGTAAAAACAAACTGAATAGCTTGTAAGTTATGTATTGGTTTACCACAGTGGTTGTCAACAAGGGGTACACATACCCCTGGGGATACTTAAAAGGGTTGTAGGGGGTACATATAACTCCATGTGTGCATGCTCAGCTGCAGCACAGCACGCATGAGGCCAGGAGTGCAGTCCGGCCCTGTGGACAGCAGCCGCGTCCAGCTGGTAAGTTTGTCGTGGGAGGAGGGAGTAGGGCTGGGGCAGGGGCTGCCCAGTGGGGCACGGTGCAGGACAGCCACGCGGGGGGGAGGAGGCGGGTCCCACCACTACGCACACCCCGGGAGGGCATGGGGGTGTATGGCCAGGACTTGTGTGCAGGGTGGGGTGGACTGGGGCTGCAGCCATGCCGGACTCTTCCCAGTGGGGGTTGGCCGGGCTGTGCTTAGGGCAGGTGGCAGTGCTGGGACAGGGTTGGAGGGGCTATGACGAATTCTGGAGTGGCTGCAGCCTCCCCCACTAGCCCCACTCCCATAGGTCCCTGTGGTGAGGGGGGCAGTGGGAGTGGGGCTGAAGCAGGGGCAGGTGCTGCCCAGCCGGAGCAGACTGCGAGACAGAGCCACAAGCAGCTCATTCAGGGGGCATAGGAGGTGGTGGCTCCCACTGCTGCATGCTCCCTGGGAGGGTGCGTGGGGGGAACACGTACCCCTGGATCTGCATGAAGAGTGTGGCAGGCTGTTGGTGTGGGAGGGCTGCAACCCCTCTGCAGCCCCCAACTAGTGCCGCTGCTACTGTCTCCCCTGAGCACAGCCTGGCCCAACCCCTACTGGGAACAACCTGGAGCAGCCCAGGCCCCAGCCCATGCAAAGATCGGGGGGGCACGCACTCCCTGTGCAGCAAAGGGAGCCACCACCCTTCACGACACCCAGACGAACCACTTGCAGCTCCATCCCACATTACGCCTCTGCTGGGCAGTACCTGTCCCTGCTCCAGTGCCATTCCCTCCCTCTCTGCGGGAGCCTATGGGAGCGGGGCTATGGGGGTGGGCTGCAGCCACTCCAGAATTCTCTGTAGCCACCACAACCCACCTCCCACCGCTGCCACCACCTGCACTAAAATGCATCCTGGCCCAGCCTCTACCAGGTACAGCCCAGCACAGCTCCGGCCCCAGCCCACCCCACACACAGATCTGGGAGCACATGCCCCCTGTGCCCTCCTGGGGTGCATGCAGCACCAGGAACCACCACCCCGTGCATCCCCCAGACAAGCCGTTTGCTGCTCCATCCTGCGCTCCGCCCTGACTGGACAGCCCCAGCCCCAGCCCCACTCCCTCCCTCCCTCACCATGGGGGCCTACAGGAGCGGGGCTACGGAGGGGGAGAGGGCTAGGGGGGCGGGGCTACAGCCACTCCAGAATTTGCCATAGCTGCCCCCAGCCCCCTCCCAGCACCATCGTCACCCACCCCGAGCACAGCTCAGCCCAGCCCCTGCCGGGAAGAGCCTAGTACCACCCCAGCCTCAGCCCACAGCGGCAGCCTGCTCTGCCCCCTGTATGCAGATCTGGGGGTACATGCCCCCCATGCCCTCCTGGGGTGTGTGTAGCAGCAGGACAGCCACCCCTCCACATGGCTCAGTCCCACGTCCTGCTCTGGCTGCACAGCCCCTGCCCCAGCCCCACAGGTGGGCCCTTGATCTACCCCTCCCTGCCCCTAAAGCAGCAGCCTGCCATTGCCCCACATGCAGATCTGGAGGCACATGCTCCCAGGGTGCACGCAGCAGTGACAGCCGCCCTCCCTCCCCACACTGCCTGGACAAGCTGCTCACAGCTCCATCCCATGCCCTGCCCCATCTCAGCTGAGCAGCGCCTGCCCCTGCCCCACTCCCTCCCTCCCTCTCTGTGGGGCCTTGATCTGCCCCTCCCACCCCTTAAAAACAAGAAAAAAAATATAAAGGGTACATGAGCTGAAACTTCAAGACAGAAGGGATACACTTGTTAAAAAAAGGTTAAAAACCCCTGGTTTAGCATTTTAGCGTAGCCTGACTAAATTTTAGTCAGAAAGAAAAACATGCTTACTTTTGCCCGTTAAAAGGAAAACAGTTTCTGAATCAAGCAAATATAAATTGTTGATTACTAGCAATTTTGAAAGAGAGACTTGTCGATTATGAACTCTAAACTGCAGTGAAATTTACTACTACTAACTGCAACATAGAGCAACTAGTTTATTTGTATGGTTTTCAGGTATAATTTTGCTCCTAATTAGCATTCAGAAAGTTGGGATTTGTCACATGCTACTTTCTGGTTTGTGTCACCTAAATTTATAGCATGGATTTATGATGTGAGGATGATCCTATTAGGATACTAGAGCCTCAGGTGCTGTCTGCAGAGTATCTAAGCACATTTCTCTCTCCTTTTCTATGGAGACTAACTTCACAAACTCGGAAACCACACCAAGAAGGCATGTGAACAAGTAAACAATATAGCTCAGCTCTTGTTTTGTTCATTCTCAATCTGCAGTATTTTGTTAGAAAAATTTTGAAATATTACCTCACCTTCAGTCTGCTATTTTCAACTATGAAGGAATACTGAGGGAAGAGAGGTCTAAAAGGATCTGATTGTCCTCCAAATACACTTATGTAAAATCATGGATGAATTATTCAGTGCCAGCATAATTAGCGATATCTTTCTTCTTAACAATGAATTTCATCATTATCAAGTTCTTTTGGACATCAGAGTTGCCCATAAAAGGACCTTCCTTCCACTTTACTCTGGAACTAGTTATCAACAAACCTAACAGAAGGTTTACTTCTTGCAGCAATTACCCAGTTTAAAAACCTAAAATTTCACTCTTCAGTAACTCATTTTATTAAAGGAATCAGTTTATAGAGATCATAAACTAGTTGGATATTAAAAGACAAAAGAAACTGCGGAGTGAGAATGTGTTCATCCTTAATTAGTGCTGGCCTGCGTTGCCATTTCTGGAGACGTTGTTCTGATCTTGGTTTCTCTTATTACACTTTACAAGCAAACTGCATCTCTTATTGAACACTTACCAGTTGAGAATCTGCAACTTGGCTGATTTTTAACTTTGTTCCCTTTTCCTTCATCTCATACATTAGTTCATTTAATATGTGAGTCTGTGCCAGGTTCTAAAGGGAAAGGGAGAGATAGAGAGATTGAGCTACTAAATAAAACAACTTCTTCAGTTACAAATTGTAAATTTAGGTATAGTCCAGTGGTTGTCAACCAGGGGTATGCATACCCCTAGGGCTACTTAATAGGGTTGCAGGGGATACGCAGAACCCTGTGTGCATGTGCGCAGCTGTAGCACACCACACAGGCAGCCAGGAGCACAGCCTGGTCACATGGACAGCAGCCGGGTCCAGTTGGTAACCTTGTTGTGGGGGGACGGAGTAGGGTTGGGGAAGGGGCTGCCCAGCCGGGACAGGATGTGGGACTGAGCTGCGGGGGGGGGAGCAGTTCCCACCACTACGCGCATCCCGGGAGGGCATGGGGGTCATGTGCCTCCAGAATTACATGTGGGGTGGGGTGGGGTGGGGTGGGCCAGGCTGGGGCCATGGCTGTGCTGGGTTCTTCTCGG